TATATATATATATATATATATATATATATACATATATATGTATATATAAAGCAAGCATAAGCGAAGAAATATTGAAAGGAATACAGGAACCTGAAGGGAACAAAATCAATTCGCATAAGGAAAGTCCTTTGGGTTTCTTTTACACTCATGATGTGTTCTGTTGAGATGTTTTAATCATACGGTGTGGTTTGTCTTGTTTAGGTGAAAGAAGAAAACTACAAGTGGTATGCAGACATACACTCACTTAGTATACATATATATATATATTTATATCATGAGTGAAGAAGAACTGTAGCGGAGGCTGAGAGTTATTTCCATTTCTGTTTTTTTTTGTTTGTTTTGATTTTATTGTGTGCGCGTAGGTATAGTTTGTTTGTTAGATATTACAGTGAATGATCACTATTAATGATATGTGCTACAGCAAACATTATGAAGAGTGTATTTCTATTGTGGTCATGCTGGGTGGTTCTATTTGTAATGATTGGTGCAGCTTTTATGATTATGATGGATCTCGTGATGCCAGTAGATGTGAGAACGCTAATGGCCATGAAAGGGTCAGCCGGGATGTTTTTGTGTTTCTACGATTGCTCCGGTTCGTTGACGATAGTAGTGTACGTAGCTTCCAGTCTCTGTGCTCTCTTGAAATCTGTGTTCTCCTTCTTTTTTTTGCATTTCTTCACTCTGGGAGCTTGTGGAAAGGATGTGTGTCCAAATGTGTCTAACTAATTTATTAGGTAAACGGGTCTCTCCCATTGGTTGCTCTGTCTAATCAGAAGCTTTCGAGTAGGGCCCAGATGGAAGCTTGACTTTACCGTCCCACCCGCCCCTTATCATTCCCGCCATCTGGCGGTGCCTCTGCGAGGTGTGAGACCCTAAAGTTGCCCTTTCGTAAGTGGGATGTTGATTTGATGGGGAAATGATTCTGTATAGGGAGTACCCAATTGAGTGGATTTGACAGCTCAGAGAAAGAATAAAGATTTTGTGTGAAGTTGTCTGGTTCTTCTGTTTTCTGATCCTCATCGACCTCAGAACAAGGGAAGTTAGAGAGGCGACGACATCAGACAAATATTCCGTTTTAAAAAAAAATAATTTGACGGTCGTTTCTAACAATCTTGATAAGTGAGAAAAAAAAGAACGGGATTGGTGAATAGGTCTATGGGCCGCGATTCGTGCTTAACGTCACAGATGTAGCATGAGATTATTATGTGTGTGTATATGTTTTTTTGCTGTTTTCTTTCTTATTGTTTTTCTTTATTGCTATTGTTATTTAATAATAATAAGTGCTCCATGTATCAGTGAAGGGCCCCACCTATTGTTCAGTGTGATTAATCATGGTGTAGGATAAAGGCAAAGAAGTCGGAAATTGACCTTCCAAATGTGAGAATGTAACACCAGTTACGCCGTTTACCAGCATCAATACCACAAGAGAGAAGGAAATGGAGGAACGTATGCACGGTTTCTCGGAGGCAAACTAAATTCGCATATCATCTTGAAGAGAAGGCAAGTTGACCCCCTAATTTGCAGTGGAGTGCCTGGGGCAGCGGCGTGGGGTGGGTCTGGTGGTGTCGCTGATCTTCAATCCCTCGTTCGGTCTCCTTCTGTGATTTGTTTACACTACTTTCACCATGGTCATTCAGGCGGCTATTGAGGTATATAGCGTCGAGGTGTGCGAGTTGCAGACGTATCTGTTCTCGTCTTGTGCGTCATGTGCACTGGCAGTGAGCCTTGCAACGGCTCCAGAAGCATGGCGATGGAGTTCCTGGGCCATACATTTACTGGGTGCGCTGGCTGGTGTCTACTTGTTTCACGCAGTAATGTCACTTGACTAGCCTTTCAGGCACTTACTGCTCAGTGCATTCGTTGAGTCGATCTCATCTGTTATTGTGAACCTTCTTCGTTGGTTTCCACGGTTTAGTTTGGCGGCGACGATGCTAACCGCGTTTTATGACTACAGACGGATGAGATACGAGGTATACTTGTTTCTTGTATTCGCCGTACAACTCAAGGCTTCCATTCTTTTCTTCAGCTCATGGCTGCTGCGCAACTCAATACTATGTTGTTCATCATAGCCTGCCTGGTGGTGAAAACATGCGTACAAAACGATATTTTCACTTACTTGCTGCCCATTGAGTAACTCTTTATGATCAATTTATCCTAAGGGCATCGTCTCTATAGAAAAAAAAAAGCCGCATAGGAGCTGTGGCTGCAAGTCAGACAATGCCTATAGGCACTCTCACTTTGACATAGCTCTGCGGTTGGGTCTTTGTGAATGATTATGACCCGGCCAGCTGCTGGGGTGGTATCTGCTATTAAAAAAGAGGTTTCTGGCGTGTACTGCTTCTCATGTCAGGCGAAACAAAAGAAATACCTTGCGGTATCCGGTAACGGACACCAGAAGTGGTCTTTTCTGGAGAAGACAAAACAGATGCATGCAGTTTTTCTCAACGCATGTGAAAAGAAGTGGTTGATATATGCTTTCTATACAAAATGTGTATTCCGGACTCCCATTCTGTTCTTTTTTCCTGATTTGTGTTGTTGGTGGTCCGTTTTCGAATTGTGTAACCTAACCGGCGTGTCGGGTAGGGCTTGCGAAACTTTCGCCACCAGTTGTTTTTGTCCTGCAGGGTGCTCCAAGGCTTCGTGGAGTCTACATGTATGTGTATGCATTTGGTTTCTCTTGCACCATCTGGTGTGCGTTTGACGTGTTCATCTAATTCTTTTGCTCCCTTTCGTTTTCTTTTTTTGTGTTCGTCTTTCTTTGCTTGTGGTGGTGCTCTATGATTAAATATTTTCTTGCTTTTGCCTCTATGCGTTGCCGATGATGTATCGGTTCATGGCTAGAGAAAGGTTCCCCTTTCTCCTCAACCAGGGCAATATTAAAGCTAATCTTGAAAGCACTTCTACCTCACATGCATATATTTTTTTCTGTTTCTGGGGCGTATTGACTGTGGACAATTTGGTGACTGAGTTTCCATAATACACAGATTTGCTCTGTGCTTCCTTAATACAACATATGCTCTTGGTTTTCGTGTGCCATTGCGATGCCTGTTTGGTTTCTTTTCTTCAGGAAAGTTGGAATGCTTCGTGTCACTCTTGCCGGACTCATTGCGTTACTCGTTGTCTCTGGTGAGTCGATGGCTGAGATTGGCAATGTTGAGCTAATTGGTGCAGAGGGATGCCCACTGGATCATTTTTATGACATGGACGCTGCCGTTTCCAGTGATGGTAACCAAGGGGAAAATGAACTCTGCCGACCATTCACTGATCCCGAGTGTACAGAAAAGTATGGCATCGTTACAGTATTCAACATAAAACAGCGGCGTTGTGTGTGGACACTTCCATCTGGCGCAACACCCCCGCATCTTCAGGCAGTCCCCAACGCGGCTGTTAACGCGGATCGGTGTGCACTCCTGCGAGTGCTACATGCGATGCTGACAACAGTGCCACCTGAGGGTCTACGGGTCTTTCCTTTGACAACAGGCAGTGCCTCAGTTGTTCCTCTGCATTGCGGTCGCGTGGATTTGCGGCAATGGGCTTTGGATTGTGTCTTCGATGAAGACGCTTCTGTGACACCCTTGGCTGTGAATGGCACCCCACTTGCAAAAGATGGACCGAGCAAAAAGCAAGAAGGACGGAAAACACCGGCTTGGGTGTTTGTTATTCTTGTCGTTTTAAGTGGCATCGGCGCTGTAACATTGTCAGCAATTGTATTTATGTTGTGGCCAATATTGAGCAGGACAAGCGCTGCAGAATCATCACATTCAGAGGCAGCAACTATGCCGGAGTTATGCGAAGAGGAGCCTACTCTTGTGGTGAACAGCAGCTTGCGTGCTGATTCTCCGTGTGAATCCAGAACGACATCGGAAGCTTCTTCAGGATCCTCATCACCCTCGTCGGCAACCCAAGGAACGTTGAGGCCATCACATCTGCTGGACGCCTCGGCGAAGACGAGCTCGCCTTTGAGCAAGAACACCTCCGTTTTCGTCACACCCCGAGACGCAAAGATGGACGATGATGCTTCTGAGTGCGGGTAGATAGCTCTATGCAATAGAACACAACAAACAAGTTTTTCGTTTTTTACCCACCTGACATGCGTTCTTCTTTTCGTTTTTCATTTTCAAATGGGAAAGTCGATAACCATTTGCTCAATGGGTAAACTTCCTGTTATTTCCGTTTTCATGGTTGCTTCTTTTTTTTTGGGGGGGGAGGGGTGAGGTGGGTACCTCTCTTTTTATCATATTCGTTTGCCCGTCTGCCTGTGTTGTCTTATGCACGTGTTTATATTGGGGTCAGTGTGGGCTCGGCCTTGGAGATGCATCGCGTCTGTTCCAAATTACTCTTCCACAGGGAAATCCACTTGGAAGGCCATCATTAAAGACGACACGCTGCTTTTCTTTCACCAGTGCACGGGTTTCTTCTTATGCTGAGTTGAGAGTGTGTACTGAGAGAGAAACACAAGAGGCTAAAAAAGTGTGGCTCACACTCTTTTCTTTTTCCTGCATATCATTATCTTTCAGTTGTTTCTGTTTGTTTCCATTGTGTTTTTAGTAGTAGGGTAACAATTGTCAGTTCATCGAGTATGCGTTCCTGGTACTTGCGCGTATTTATAACTCATTAGGCATTCAAGGGGTTCGGCTCCCTGCAGCTTCCTTGGTTGACAAAGAATAGCAATGGACCACTAGATGACGATGTGAAAGAGGAAGGTCGCTACTCGTAGCGTTCGCTTCAGACATGGCTGCTATAGGAACCATCATGTCTCTCCTCTAGAGAATTCCACCTCACGGACTCTCGGTTATATGATTACCGCCCAAGTGCGACTACCACGGCCACCGAAGATGTGAATACCAACTTCTGTACAGATGACTCTATGATGTGTGTTTCTTTACTTTGGGAAGTTCTCAAAGTGTGTATTCTCCCTGCTTTGCGACTTTGCCCGTTGCTGTTTTATTTATTTTTTTGTCTCTTTGGATATTATCATTCCAAAAGCATGTTCGCTTTTTCTTTTTCTTTGTGGGAGCACCTGGGGAGTTTTGTATTTCTCTCTCTGTGTGTGTATGCGAATGATTATTTTTCTCTTTAATGGAGCACTATACTTCTTGCTCACTCAACAAAAGCCTGAGCTTCTTGATTCTCGCTCTTGGTGCCAGCTCGACGATGCGTTTCTGTGTGCCCCGAGTCACCACTTTGCTGGACCACCGGCCCTGTTCTTTTTGATCATCACAGTGGCAATACTTGGCGTCTCTCTCGTAAATGTTTTTCATTCTGCACCCGTCAAATAGTTTGATTTTAAGTCTGTTGGAGCTGTCGCGATTGACCTGCAGCTGATTGTGTTGATCGTGACGAGGACGATGCAGCTGATCATAAGTGCGAAGTGCGTGGTCAGCATTAACTCTTTTATTCAATGTGTACTATCATGCTCAGGGGTTCATTTTCGTGGTATGTTCTGTTCCCGCTCGGATATAGTGTCTTATATCGGCGCGTGTGAATCATGAAGAATACACTGGCACGTCACTGATCATGCCCAAAGTACTGGCGGGGGTGGTTCTTGCTACAACACCTCCTGAGTCATAATCATAAGTAGTGTATCCCTTTTTAAATCTCTTGCATGTTTTTTTTGCCTTTTAGAAGATTTGGAAAAAAAATGTGTGCGATGAGGGTTTATTCACTATTTCCTTGGGCGCATTTCCTCACCCACGATAAGTTCCCCTTAGTTCTCGTCATGGGATTTATGGGTAGAATTGAAAGCGGTCCTTTTGGGGGTGGTGATTAAGGTTTGATTTTCTATCCCACCCGTTCCCGTTGGGCCCGCCACGCTGCGGGTTGGGGGCCCTTGCGGGTGGGGTCCACAAGCGGCTCATCCGTAAGTGACACACGATAATAAAGAGTTGAATGGTTTAGATGTATTTAATTTAATTTAGCCGTTTGCAGAATACTTCGGCCATGATTGGGTGGAGAGCAGGCCCTTGGTGCTCGAA